CCCGTACGGATGGCGCTAATGCTTTGAGCGATTGAACACAATCATCAACTACGTACGACCTCGTACGCGCGACGGCTTTTTACACAACCGCCATCAACGTAGGAGATAGTGGTTTCCGATCTGCTCCTTTCACGCATGCAAAGTGATTTTCATTATCGGTGTAAAAAGTCGAGATGCGCGACAAATTGTTGCGACTTGATGGTAATTAGTGGTTATCGAGTCGAGCGACTGACTATCGATGAGAAATTTTTCCTTCTAATAACCGATCAAAATTACCGAATTCTTCACAGTATCTTATTTACTAGGCCAACCTTGTTATCTAGCGTCGCGACTCGCGCACGACTTTAGCGCAATTCCCTGGAAGTCGCGCAACATGGGAGACCGAAAATTATACGTTTTTCCAGATGATTTTACTCTATTCTCTTCTGTATCCGCGAATTTTCCAGAAAAATGTGGTTACCAATTTAGCGTTCTTCTGTCTGATCACTTCAAAGGAGGACTAAAACTTTTCCCTCTTTTCAAAACATCAGAAAAATTGCAAATCAAACACGCTCTTTTGATTTTAACAACCTTCCTCCTACCTATTAATCTTCACTAAGTTCAAAGGAGGCCATGCCTTGTTACATTCCATAAAAATTAACTACAAAGGAACATCAGTGACTCATGCCTCCTTAGTTTTCTGCATTCCGACCACACCCACCCAACCCATAGGTTATTTTGGAATGGGTTATTCATGTTGTTTTGAAGGAACTGGTTTCTGCATGGGCAATTTGACTGGGAGGAGTAGCAAACCTTGAAACTTTAGAAGAATGCTGAGTTCAAGGAAAGAACAGCTTGTGTCGGGATACTACCAATCTGCTACAAATGAGGGAAACAAATTCTAGTTTATGCTTCAAACAAAATTTCTCATTCTTCGCAATTTTGGTAGCAAAAATTATTTTGGAACTTGCTGTTTCACCATCTGCATCCTAAAACGCAAAATCACATTGCTACGACTCCAGCTTGAATTCATTATAGGTGCAGGTTCAGGTTCCGCTACGAACATCTTGTGAACTTTCTTTGATATCCTTGCATACTAGCCATCGTAATGTAGCTTCCTCTTAAATCCGCGAATTTACATTTTCGGCACAGCAGTGCGCTGAACCCCTGCTGAGTATGTTTGCGGGAATTCTAGATCACCCCAAAAGAGGAATTTCGAGGGAGACGGGGTTTATCACATGTCAGAATAGAAGCCTCACAACTTCCAAGTAGAATATTCTACTTCTTTTCAGTGGTGAATGCGAAAGTTCAACAGAATCCGAAGAAAGCGATCGACCCCGCCGATCCCGGAGAGGCCGAGAATGCAAAAGGCTTGCTGTACATGCTTGCCCCTACTCTGGATGCCTCAAAACGTAGGTCCTAAAACACTTTTCAAAAGGGTGTCAAACTATTGTAGTTGTTCAGATACTCCAAAAGTTCCCACCTAAAAGCCCATGTGCGGACGCATAGCGGTGAGAAGCCCTATTGTTGCTCATGGGAAGGATGTGAATGGAAATTTGCAAGAAGTGATGAGCTGACAAGGTATGTGGTTGCTTAAAAACCTCGTTAAAAATTGAAGCATGAGTCCGAAACTTGATCGAGCCTTAAAAAAGCGGGAGCGAGGGGGGAGAGCAGGAGACTTCCCACAATATCTTTCCACAACATTGGAAGTTTTTTTTTTGAGAACAGTATATTGACAAGCTTTCAACTTTATGCAGTTGACTTCTCAGCAAAACACACGTCTACCTACTCAAATGACTCATACTTGTTATCATATCTGTTTGTCCGATACTTGAAGGACAATTGCCAACTCTGCGCAGAAAAAACTGCTATTTTGTGACATCTTCTCTTCTCCAACTATAGGGCAAAAGTAGCGTTCTAGTCGGTTTGGGACATCTTCACTTTTACCGCTTGTTCGCGATCTTAAGACTGAAATGAGCTTTACCGCTCTCTTACGACTATGGAAAAAAA